TCTGTTTAATAGCTTGGTAATTATTGAAAAGAATGAATGCTTTAAAATGCAAATTACCTTTACAATATATGGGAGAAAGGGATAATGAAAGAGATAATGGATAAAAATATAAAGATTATATTTTCAATTTTTATTTGTTATTATTTTATAAAAATAAAGAGATAATTGTAGATGGTCCTGCTCTGGCGGGGGGGTTGGACTCGATGATCTCCAGAGGTCCCTTCCAACCCCTAACATTCCGTGATTCTGTGGCAATAGATCTTTTCAGAGTTTCTTGTTAACAAACCCTGTATTCCTGCCTTTGGTCGTGCCAAGTGCTTACAGATGAAGGTGTTGGTAAATCTTCTGGGACCCTGAGGTTCCAGTTTGCAGTTGCTGTAAATTGCTTAATGATACGCAAACTGCTGTGGAATTCAGCCTGTTGCTTTTCACCACAAATGCAATTTTTGGAGCAGGCACAGAGTCTGGCGGTGGTAATGAGCTGAGTGCACCCTGGCAGTAAATTACTACTTCTTCCACAGAGCTAACCCACCAGCTCAGGATGGAGGCAAATTGCTGAGCAGCCCGGAAACAGTGTTCTCTTTTCTGGGTTTGTGTGACAGATAAAACAAGGGATTTGTTTCCATTCTGACAACCTGACGCTCTCATACACAATAAAAAAACTCTACAAGTATATTTGGGAGCAAAAGAATAATGTTTAGCATTTATCAGAAGTTAAATTACAGGATTTTTCTCATTTATGCAGCACTAAGCAGACAACAAATCCATGGACATTTTGTGATAAATACAATCCTGAAATGAAGAATTTAACATGTATGAAAATTCTAATCAAACAAGATACAACTCATGAGTTATGTTTATTTAAATTCTACTATAGATATTCCAAAAGAGTCAAGCCACTAAGCCACTTTCTGACCAGTTACCTATGCAGTTAACAAGCGTAATGGCTAATCAGGGAATTAAGCCTAGTGAGGATGATTATTGTTTCTCTTACCCAGCCAAGGTTCTGAGATAGCGTTGCAAGGCAGAGAGCTTGCTAATCATTTCAAGACTGAAGGAACTCCAGTTATGATTGGTAAGTGCTTGAGTATCAAAGTGTGTAGCCTCCCTGTGCTGAATTTAATTTCAATTAGAACTCATTCAGTTCACTGTACAAGAGTTAATCAAAACTCTACATGAATTAAAACCCACGCTTTTCCCACGGGAACCTGGGAAACACTGCTGTCTTTTCTCTCAGTATTTCTCCCAGGCTCAATATTAAACCTGGTAACAAAAGTCAGTCTAAATTGTGTTCTTAAAAACTACTGTTGAAGTCAGAACTTGAAAGCTGACTTCTGCTCTGTAGAGGAGCAGAAGTTCTTACACTTCCCCAAAACTCGTTTTTAAGATCAGTTCTAATAATCTGAAAGGTTGGTAACACAAGAAATGCCATTCATAAGAAATATATGGCAACTGTCTCAAATGAGAGGTGCCAGAAGTCCAGATTTTATATTCTTGGCCTTTGGCAGCCTTTTTGTCCAGATTTCAAGAATTTAGAATCCTATATTGAAAAATCTTTTTGTCTGTAACTTCTCCTTCCCTGTAATGCTCTCTTGTAGATTTGTTTAATTTTTGCTGTTGGAGGGGCAGAGGTTGGCTTCTTGGGGGGTGGGTTTTTAAGGGTGTTTTTTAGGGATTTTTTTTTTCTTCTGGTGTTTTTTTTTCAATTCCTGTCTGTTGTGTGGAGTCATTACCACGGAATCCAAAGGACGTAAACTTCTCGCCATCTGAAAGAACCATGCAAGAGTTGACCTGTGGCCAGCTCATCAAAGTATCCCCCTCTTTCCCCATTTGCAGAGTGGAGAAAGGGCGGTCAGAAATTACTGCTCTGTCCCTAATATCCACTGATGGAACTTGGAAAACAGCAGATAACCCTTATCCAAAAACTCTTGTTTCTGTTACGATTTTAGTCTTTCTACAGTCAGGAAGTTTTTCAGATTCTTTTTTTACAGCCAAGTTTCTTCAAAGAGCAAGTGAGCAAAACTGATGTTTGAAATATTCTTGACTTATCTGGTGGAAGTATTGAGGATTTAACCTTTCTGACATGGAAGAAATTTGGAAAGTAAACTCTATAATTGTAGGAAGGGAAGTAATCTTCCATAGTTGTAGTAAAGATGTGTTGTTTAATAATATGAAGAATCTTACATAGCACAGCTTCAGAATCATTTTGATAACCAAGCTGATCTGTTCATCGAAAGTGTTGATGTACTTTTATTTTGGGGCTTGCACATGTAGCCAGCCTCAGTGAAAAGCTCTTAGCAATTTCTGTTCCTCCTGTTTTAGGTGGAGGTGTTCTGGCTCACACAATATTAGGAGTGGCTTGGAATGAGATTACTGGGCAGATAAAATATTTGATTCTAGACCCACACTACACTGGAGGAGAAGATCTGCAAGTTATTTTGGAAAAGGTGAGGCTTGATGCACATGCACTTATACACATGTGTCTGTGTATATGCACATATATTTTGGCATGAAACAAATAACATACTACAGCCAAATGCAAACTGGCTGTTCAATGGCTTCTCCATTCCCTCTGGAGGAAGTGCTGATCTAAGTTAACCTGCATGTATGCTACTTCTTGTTAGTGTTTGAAATTTAGTGTATTTGGAGAGGATACACTGGTTCAGCAACTACATAAAGTTATTACAATACAAAGAAATGTTCTTTCTTCAAATTACCTTTTACCCAGTAGTATATACAACAAATGTGTTTGGTATTTGGAATGGAAGAAAAATCTGTTCAGCCTATAAAATGCTGTTACTGAAGCAAGGAAGGTAACCCTTTGTTTAAAATAAAATTAAAATAAATAAAAATCCAACACTAGGCATTCTCAGATAGTGTTGAACTAAGTTTATGGAGCTGTTTTGAAAATCTGGGAAAACTCTAAAGAATTGAAGGGTATGTAATGTTATTTTCATATTTAAAACTATTAAAAGGGATAACAGCACATGACAAAAAAGTAAACGTAGTGTCAGAAGCATAAACTGTGAAAGTGGCTAAATTATCCTATAGGTGTTAAGTAATCAGTTTCTTTTCTCTTCTTCATACTAAGTTGTAAATAGCAGCAATTCTTTCATGTTTTTGATACCCTTGAGTTGGACCCAATTAGAAAAGCTGTTAAAAACCATTTTGCTAGCCCTGTAATGGACAGAACTTGAAATGAGTACAGAAAGAAACAATTTCCAAAGAATACAGGTGACCAAAGGTTGTTACAGCTACAAGGTGTTCAGGAAGATAAAAATAGATGCAGAACTCCCTTTCCTCCTCAAAATTGGCAGGGGAGGGGAGGAACTGAGGTGGACTCTTAAGTTTGTAGCTCTTTTCTTCAAAAAAACACCTCATATAATTATGTGGTACTCTGCAAACTTCAGAGCTTTGTTAGACTTTTTCTGCTAAATCCTGATCAGCAGCACACTTTCTGATACTGGAGCTCTGTTTGGCTCTGAAACACTGACTACTACCAGAGAAGGCAAAGATAAAGACAAAGGAAATGGAAACTGTGTCAAGGATGGCATTTCAGAATAACATTAGTTGCTGGGTAGCAGCAGAAGGTAGTGGGGTGGGGAGGACAAGAGATGCTGCTTTTTAGGAACTGAGCTGGGATGGGGAGAGAGGAAGGGAGAGAGCAAGCCTCTGGACGGTGTTTTCTCTTAGTGTATTTCTAGGTGTGCAGAGAACATCCTGAAAATTGTCTCGTTCCATTCTGTAGGTATTTGAAAAGATTCATACAGCTTGTCTTAAAATTAGTAAACTAAAAAGATGTAATAGTACAAGACAGGAAAGTCAGAATTCACAGTACATTTAAACACTACCTTGCTCTTTCTTGGACAGGGCTGGTGTGGATGGAAGGGCCCAGAGTTTTGGAACAAGGACGCCTATTACAATCTATGCCTACCTCAACGACCAAAAACTATTTAAATTCCACTCCTACGCTGGAACATGCTACGCCCAAATACTAGCTGATCCTAGATATAACTGTCTCATTATTTATCAGAGTAATGCTTCAATCAAAACCCAGTTGAAATAGAACTGCTGCTTGAGTATTTAAATTAAGAATTATTTTTTTTTAAATGAAGCCTCTAAAAATAAAGTTATCTGCTGTGAACTGTACTTCTTACAAATACATCTATTAGGTGACTAATACTCTCTTTGGCTAGGACAACTTTGTTTAGCTAAATCTTTACAGATTAAATGCCCGATCTGTTATTTTATGGAATTCTTCCTTGCCAAAGAAGACAAACTGTCTTCGACCTTTCAGGTTACATCTAGCCAGCCGTCTAGTGCACTGTCAGTCTACTCAAAGCCCTGGTTTGCTGCTGGTACTGCTAATAACAGCAGCTTAGAAGAGGACAGGGGGAAAAAATGGCAATATGGACTGAATTTTATGGACTTTGTTCTCATATTTACACAAAAAAAAAATGCGAATTAATTGTTAGATGCTTATTTATTTATAGCTGTATCAATACAACTATTCTGGGAAAAAAAAAAAATCCAACAAGTCTTCTGTAAGAAGTAAAAATAAACAAGCTTTCCTCCTTCTCGGAAGGAGACAATGTACCACCGTACACATCTGGCTGCTCCATGCACAGTCCACTCATGTTTCTTCAGACTTTGGATTCCCCTTGATTTCATTCTGGGATTACAAGCTCGCTCTTTTGTCAGCTAGGAGACAAGATCTGTCATATGAACAAACGAGAATAAGTCTGTAGCTACTCCATCACTACCCCATAAAGTACCTACCATTTAGTTTTTTTTCCCCCACGTTGCAGTAGCCTTTTCAGTGCCATTCCCCATGCATTGTCCATTTTTAGTAAGACCATAACCTTAAATACCTATGCAATTTGATCCTTACTAGCAGGCTTATAAATCCAACTCCTATGTATCTAACCCCAAATTTATTTACTTAAGTCCTAAAAATATTTTTTTTTTAAATTATTCCCAAGTGTCATAAACTAACAGTTTTACACACCATCTGGTCTTCTCCTCTTCCTGCTTATGGATCTGCTGCTTTCAGTTGCTTGTTCCTGTGCAGCTGGGTCCCCTCTCAGCAAGGCACATCTGTCACTTTGGGAGCCGCCAGACTCTCCTCTTGGCTTCATTGTCTTCATGTGCTGAATCATTGTGAGGAACTTGGCACATTCCAGAAAGCCGTAAGCCAGGGCCAGGTCTGCTGCTGTTTGTCCACTGTGATTGCACAAGCTGAAACCCAGAATTCACAGTAACCATTAAAGTGCAATATATATTATGAGCAAACACTGATCAAGAGTAATTAAGTGGTAACATTAAACAGAGCTATAAGTACAGAGAATTAATACCAAGAAGGTTTGTCAAGGATCACATGAGGCTCTACTCATAGAGAGGGATGATATTAAATGCACTAAGGAATAATTATTTTAAAATAAATTTGTCATCAGACCGTGACTGGCTTAGATACCAGAAAGGCAAGAGGAATGTGAGCACAGTGTTAGAATGGCAAACAAATAGAACCAATGATCAGAAATAGCCTTTTAGCAGTTACTGCAGAGGTTTTTAATGTGAAACTGAACAGTGTATGGTCTGTGCTACTTCGGTGTTTATTAAAGGCAGTTTTTAATGCTGCTCTGATGCATACAGTCATGCCACATTTACAGCCTTAGCATGCACACTCTGAACAAGTACTGTAAAAATACACATATCCTTTGACACTTCTTATGGAAATGACTAAATGTAACTCAACTTACTCAATTTTGGCATCACCAGCAACAAGGAGAGCAAGACATTCCAAACTCCCAGCTTTTGCTGCTTTATGAATCGGGGCTTCTCCAAGGCAATCCTAAAAACAAAATCAGCTGTAATTGAAGGAAAGGCAAAGGATGGAGCCATCTTGTTCTCCAGCTTGCCTGTTTACACAGTGTTACTCTATAGTAGTCCCCCCTGAATGGAGACATTAAAGCAACAGAGCCCGTGGAGTATACTTGGTAGCTGCCATTAAATGTTCAGCGTATCCATCACAGCAGAGTGGGAATGCTGTCTCTGTGCAATGCTCTTTGTTTAACCTTTACCTTCTAAAAGATTATTTGCACAGAATAGTCTGTACACTGATCAACTCATCTTTCAGCACCGTTCAGGGATTGCTGCCCACAACAGCTTACTGCTACCAGCTCAGGGGTATAAGCAAATCCAACTTTGCAGCTAGAGGAAGAATCCTTACGTTTACTTGAAGAAGGGGCAGAATTTCAGAGGAAAAGAAAATACTCATTTGTGTAAAACAATTAAGTTCTTTTGCCATCTGCATGAAGCACTGCAGGTGTGAAAATCGCATTACACGTAGCAAGTGAAATCGCTGCTGCAGTACAGAAAGGATTTCTGGGTTATGCTAGTAGAAAGTTATGCTAAAATAACCCCAGGTACCTCTTGCAATACAACTGTACATATAAAAGCTCTCTTGGATAAAGAAACAGGTAAATAATATAACCTGGGTTTTCTGACATGCCAGATTAGAAGTGGGAGAAACAAAACTTATTTTTACCTGTTGGTTCAAATTTGCGCCTGTCTGCAGTTGCCAAAGTAGGAAAAAAGCTTCACCGCCACAAGCCGCCAGGTGAGCTGGAGACTGACCAAAGGCATCTGCAGGTGCATTCACACCGGCTCCTGCCTCCAAGAGGCTGCTGAAACTACCACACTAAAATAAACAAGGGCAGAGAAAACAAGGAAAAAAAGCACCATGTTACTGCCAGTCTAAGCCAGGGCGAGTCTAAGCACACTGCAGCTTAGCATAAACATCTCCCTCGCAAATCATCAGACCCTTAAAAAGAAAAGAAAATAAGGCAGTCCAACGTGACTTTTGGCTTTTACCCTCCTAGCTAGCAATACTGACCGGCATGGGCAGCAGCAGCCCCACGCAGACTACACCTCGTACAGCCCCCGGTGGGCCAGACCCGACAGACCTCACCTCCAGCATCGCCCCCGTGCCGCCGCGGCGCCCGGAACCTGGCCCCGCGCCCCGCACCCCGCAAGCG